CGCCCGGTATCCGCGACGGCCGGATTTTGCATCTCCAGCTGTCGCCCCTCCATAAAGGAAGCGCCACCGACTGATCAAGCCGCGAAGTGGTGTGACGCCGTCACTCCTGAGCATGGCTTGCAGCCGCAAACTCGAGCGCCTAATACTCGAGATGGCTCAGGCACAACCGGCAGTGGCTTGGGCGCAGGACATTGCTGCAGAACATTGACAAGACACTCTAACCCTCAATGCGCAACATCAATTGATGCAACACTCGGCGCAATCATGGCCATTAAGCATCAATCGATGTTACAAAACAAGTTTAGTCTCCGCCGGGGCGCAGCTTGGCAGCAATTGGATCCTCTGTCCACTTTTTGCTTTGCGAGTTCCTCTATTGGCCGCGTTTGCTGACTCGGTGCCACGTTCCGACTTCTTCCCTGTGTCGCCGACCTGGGTTTCCGTTTAGGTTTCCGCACGGTTGATAAAAATCGACATCAGCCCACTTTGTCGATGCAGCCGTGACCCGACCCGGGGCCGTTGACCTGCGGCGAGAGATGGTGCATACGAACAATGCCACATGGCTGTTGTGACTACTCGTTTCTATGGTCTTTTTTTTTTTTGCCCGCGTGTTTTGGGACCTGAGTTGAATCAGCCGTAAATCTTGCATCTCCGGATCTCCGTTGCTTGGGAAATGTGATTCCATTTCATGTTGTATAAAGCCGTTCGTTTGCCTGCTGCACTCGTGTACAAGATCGTGTCCTGCATGAAGCCAGCCAAAGCAAACCACCCGGCAAACCAATCACATCCTCACTTTTACTAAAGCCCCCCTTGCCCTCTCCCATAAAGAAAATCGTATACTTCTACAACAAAACAACGTGACAACATTTTATATGCGCCCCACGCTTGTCAGAATGGCCCTTACCGCCCAGCAGATCGCCACAGTCAAGTCGACGGCGCCCGTGGTCAAGCAGTATGGCAAAACCATCACCACCACCTTTTACAAGAACATGCTCAGCGCCCACCCAGAGCTAAAAAACTACTTTTCTCTCAAGAACCAGCAGAGCGGCGCCCAGTCCGCCGCACTGGCCAACGCCGTCTTTGCCTACGCCTCCTATATTGATGACCTGCCCAAGCTGAGCGGCGCCGTCGAGCGCATCGCCCAGAAGCACGCCTCGCTCTTCATCAAGCCCGACCAGTACCCGATTGTGGGCAAGTACCTGGTCGGCGCCTTTGCAGAGGTTCTCGGCAACGCGCTGACGCCCGAGATTGCCGAGGCCTGGATCGCCGCCTACGGCCAGCTCGCCGACATCTTCATCCAGCGGGAGAAGCAGCTCTACAGCGACGCGGGCGCGTGGCAGGGCTGGCGCCCCTTCAAGATTGCCGCCAAGGAGGCCGAGACGGACAACATCATCAGCGTCTACCTGGAGCCCGTCGACGGCAAGCCCCTGCCGGCCTTCCGCCCGGGCCAGTACCTCTCGCTGCAGATCCCCCTGCCCGAGCTGGACGGGCTCCTGCAGAACCGCCAGTTCAGCCTGAGCGTCGCGCCCGAGGAGAACATGAGCCAGTACCGCGTGTCGGTCAAGAAGGAGGCCATCGAGCCCTACACGACCGAGGACCTCGCCGAGGGCAGGGTCTCGGGCATCGTCTGCAACCGCCTGCACGACCGGTACCAGGTCGGCGACGTCGTCAACGTCAGCCCGCCGCGCGGCGAGTTCTTCTTTGACGACGCCGCCGTGCCGCCCGCCGCCCCCGTTGTTCTGTTGTCGGCCGGCGTCGGTGCCACGCCGCTCGTGTCCATCCTCGACTCGATTATGAAGTCGTCCCACGCTACGAGGCCCGTCACCTGGGCGCATGCCGCTCGTCACGCCGACTCGGTCTGCTTTGGCAAGCATATCCGCGACCTGGCCGCTTCCGCTCGCAACGTCCGGTCCGCCCTGTTCGTCAAGAACGTCAAGGACGTGGACGAGGAGGGCAGGCACTACGACTTTGCTGGCTCAATGGACATTGACAAGCTTGCCGAGGAGGGCGCCCTGTACTTGGACGACAAGACGGCAGAGTACTACCTCTGCGGTCCGGAGGAGTGGATGATCAAGATGAGGGACGAGTTGACGAGCAAGGGGGTCCATGTGGACAAGGTGCATCTCGAGGTCTTCAGGACGGGAGATGTCTAACGGCAAAAGTGTGCATTGTTGAGCGTTTTAGCATGTCTTGTATCATCATAGATGTAGATTGTAGAATATACCATGTTGCACTGGTTTTTATTTTTTTTATACAAGATTGGCGCATTTTGTATGTAGGTATGCAACAGGGTTTCATTCATTTCTTCTTCAATCGCCCTATACAATATTGGTCGAACAAAGTTTTATGATGACTTCGACAACAGCAAGAAATCCTCCCTCGCCCAATCTGGTCTAGCGTCCCCCTCGCGTCCCATTCCCGCCACGACTGGTGACGTCGTCCAATAATCACCCGCCATCATCCAAACCTACAGACAGTGTCATGGCCGACTCCACGGCTCAGCAGATGTTTTTCCTTTTTTCCCATTTAGCCCTTTGCCCTATGTATTGACCTCCCGGCTCTATCGTCGAGCGCAGCATCGTCTCCCCCTCGGCTGTGAAAGTCAAAAACCGCCAGGCGCTACCATGCCACTGACTGCATAATCGACTCCTCATCGCGGCATGCCGACGCGATCTGCAGCTGCGCGTCATTCGTTTCACCAGTCACCCGCTCCCCCGTTCCCCGTCCCAGCCAAGAAGCATCGCGCGTCTCACTCTCAACCTCACCCGCATGGTGCGAAACCACCAGTCCGCACCTCCGCGCGCCCATCATGACCAGAGATCCCAGCCGGCCCCAACTGGTCATCCACCCGAAGCACCACGTCTCCGGCCGAACGGCCTCCTCTGGCTCGTTCCACGCCGGCGCTCCCATTCCCACCTTGGGCTCGTTCCGCCGGCAGTCGTCGACGCATAAATACCAGACCTTCCCGGTGCAGCCGCCAAAGACGCCGCTGGGCCCTCCACCCGTCCCCAGCCAGGATGCCGTTTCCGAGTCTACAGAGTCGTCCGCCAGCGGCGAGGACGACGAGACGCCCCTGCCCGTGCGGCAGCTGCTGCTGCTGGCGTTCCTGTCCCTGTCCGAGCAGACGGCCCTCAACTCCATCGGGCCCTATCTGCCAGAGATGGTGGCTTCCATGCCCGGCGTGCCCAGCGGCGAGAACGGCCTGTACGTAGGCCTGCTGGCGAGCGCCTTTGCCCTCGCTCAGCTGTCTACCAACTTCCTGTGGGGGTACGCCTCGGACATCGTGGGCCGCAAGCCGGTGCTGGTGGCGGGCACCTTTTCCCTCATGGGCTGCTTCTGCGTGTTTGGCTTTTGCAAGGAGTACTGGCAGATGGTGGTGATACACGCGCTGATGGGCATGCTCAACGGCAACGCGGCCTGTGTCCCGACGGTCCTGGGCGAAGTCACCGACCGGTCGAACCAGAGCAGGGCCTTTACCTACCTGCCCGTCATCTACTCGCTGGGCAGCATCACCGGCCCCGCGCTCGGGGGTCTTCTGGTCAACAAGATGGGGTCCGAGTACCCATATCTCGGGCCCAACGTTCTCGGCGCAGCGATGCTGGCTGCGAGCGTGGTCGTGGTTGGAATCTGGTTCGAGGAGACGCTCGACGAGTCGGGCAAGAGCCCTTGGAGACCGGCCTGGATCAGCCGTCTTGTCGCGTGGGTCGACGGTTCCGACAAACCTGGGGACCGCAGGGCGTCTTGGAGCTCGCGCTTGGCAGAGGCTTCGGCCTCGCAGCAGCCGCTCCTGTCGTCTAGCTCGTCAACATCATCCTCTGTCGACCAAGACGATGCCGACGACGATGGAGATGATGTCAAGGACGGTGGTGTCAGTGGCAGGCCTGTCTGGAAAGACTTGCTCAACCGGACAACCATCATCCTCCTTGCCACGTATCTCGTTTTCCAGCTCTCCAACATCAGCTTCAACAGCCTGTATCCCATCTTTGCATCCGCCCCCGCGCCCGCCGGCCGTGACCTGAGCCCCAAAAAGATTGGCTTCAGTCTCAGCGCAGCTGGTCTTGCCACCATTGCGTTTCAGGCCTTTCTCTTCCAGTCCATCAAGTCCAAGATTGGGAACTTGGGCTCGTACCGATACGCCCTGCTCGGGCTCGGCGTCAGCATGATTCTGATGCCCTGGGTGGGCTACCTCGACGACGATCCGCCGTTGAATATCGGCAGCGGCCGACTGTGGCTGTTCGCCGAGCTGGCCATGGTCCTGATCTTGAAGAATATTTGCGCCGTCGGTGGACTGTCGAGCGTAATGCTGCTTGTAAGTTTCACTACTGCATCGTCGGGGTCCAACCTCCCCTGATGACCACCCCCCTTTTGAGCCCTCTCCTAGTTCTAACCAGCAATCAGATTACCAATTCTGCGCCGTCGCACGCCAGCCTAGGCACACTAAACGGTGTTGCTCAGACATTGTCCGCTCTGGGGCGCAGTTTCGGCCCATTTGTGTCGGGCGGTCTCTTCACCCTCTCGGTCAACATTCGACCCAAGGGGGAGGCTCTCGCATGGAGCTTGTTTGGTGGTCTGGCATTGGTGGGCTGGGGCGTCTCCATGTTTATTCGGGGGGAAGGACTCGAGAGCGAAGACTGGTCAGACGACGACGACGAGGTCGAGACAGCTTAGGGGGTAGAGCCAGTGTCCGACTCTCTGCACCGTTGCGAGCTACGCGGCATGACTAGTACATATCTGAGCCCCACGAGGCATCAAATACAAAAAAACGTACTGTTGTATTGTTCCGTCAAAGCTACGTAAGAGGAAAGGACTCTCATTCACACAAATGAAGGGCGGTCCTCCAAGTCTTAATACACCAAGTTTCAACGCCATGTGTTTTTCTTTTCTCCTTGCTTTTGTTCATCCACGTCTGCAAACACCATATTTCGCTTCAGCCAATGCCCACCGTCTATACTCAAAATCCCAAGACAAAAAGAAAAGAGGTCCTCAAGGCCCCTCAAGGCCCCTCAATACCAAGTGGGCGACCTCTCCCAGTGCCTCAGCAACATGTCCACGGCAGCCGTCCACTCCGCCTCGAAGCAGTTCGCCAGCTGGGCGACATCCGCCGCAGAGGGCATCTTGCTCCCCCACATGGCGGGCTTGATGGCCTCGAGCGCCGCGTAGGCGGCCAGGAGCCCGTCGTCCTTCATCTTGGTCAGGCACAGCCAGGCCAGGTTCCAGCTGCGGTTGCTGGCGGGGTCCTCGCGCACGCGGCTGTAGGCGTCGCGCACCACGTCCCCCGTCATGGGGTAGTTGGGCGTCAGGCCGAGGAGCTCGCTGGCGAGCTGGTGCGACGTGACGTAGTGAATCCACGCCCGGGTCATGGGCTGCTGGAAGGCCGCGGCGTCGTTGGGATCCGCGCAGCTGCCGGCTATGCGTTCGATGCGCACGAGTTCCGTGAGCGTGTTGACGCGGTGCGTGTTGAGCGTTTCGATGAGCTGCGACACCGACGGCTGCGGGGGCTTGCGGGCTTGTCAGATGTGTTTGAAGGTGGGAAGAGGGAGAAGAACACTCCTGGGAGGGTGACATACCGTCCAGCTCGTGCTGGTGGCTTTCTTAGGGGCCATGATGGGGAAGTCGGGCACGTCTGGCAAGGTCAACCGTAGACTTGTCCTGTTGGGCGTCGGTTTTCTCACTCTGTTTGTCTGGCGTCCTGTTGATGGCGGTCTTGTTGAAGACTTGTTTCTGGACAGGAGCCGGTGCGCGGCATTTATGGGATTCCTGGTCGACGGCCCATCCTCAGTCATTTGGGATAGATGGTTGTCTTTGTACGTCGTTCAGCCTGGTGGAATGGGACTTTGCAGCAGAAGACTCGGGCCTTGCTTGCCTCAGACAAGGGGGCGTAGACGAATGAGATGTGATGGCAGAGTTTTCAAGAGGCACGAATTGCATCCGCCGCGATGGTATGAGACTGATCCTTTCTGTATATCGGCCAAGGAAAAGACGTACAGAACATGACGCAGCCCTTTACTTTTGGCCCCCGTTGCCCGCGCAGTCTCGACAGAATGCCTCGTGACGTTCGGGATCCGTACAACACCAACCGAAGAGAGTAGGGGGGCGGTGGAAGTACAACTGACATGAGCAAAAGGGGGAATCCTGAACGCCTTGGCAGCTTTCAAAGAGGCAGAATGGGGTTTCGCCAAGACGGTTTGCCTAGATGGTGTTTGATGTGCCTTGCCCCGTGGTCAGAAGGAAAACCCGCAAGAGTGAAACTGGGCTCAGCCCTTTTCCTTGTCCACGTCAAGGTGTTGTATTCCAGAAGCCCCTTATTCTCTCTGGGCTTCCCAGAGGAGAGAGGTTGATCGGGCGCTCCCGAGCTGCCCGCCGGTCTGGAAGTTTTCTTCAAGCCCTTATACTCGATGATCCCTGCATAATGGGGGAACGTGGCTCTGTTCTGCTTGGGTTGGCCAGGCGTGCCCGTTGTTCGGGGGCCTGAGCATCCGCGCCATCCTCAAGGCACACTGATCGTCCTTCGATATGGGAGCATTTGCCCGGCCGGCCGCCACCGCCAACAAACACTGTCAGCCGCATTTGATTCCCATGCCGGACCTCATCCGCCCAATACCTCACGGCGCTGGGCTGTTCCGACAAGGGCTTTGGAAGTCCCCAAAGTCGATGATTCTGCAAGAAAGCAAGCAAGGAAAGGTTAAAAGATGACGCCTCATGGAGCCAAGCTCCCAAAACATGTTGCGCCGCTCGCTGGAGGCCACCACTCAGCTCCTAGGTAAGCGCCAGACATGGGTATGCCGAGTCGAGGGCTGAATGCTTTGGCGCGAAAGGATCTCCATCCCTGCCGCGCAGTTAAGCGCCCGGCGCCTAAGTGTCCAATTCCAAAGGCTGCTCAGGACGGGGGTGGCTGTTTGGCAGCGGGCGGTGGCACGCAGCCGAGCATGCAAGAGTTCGTTTTTGGGCCGTCTGGTGGCCCTTTTTTGCTCGCAGCATCATCTTCATCCGTTTTGGCCCCCCCTTTGGCTGGAAGAGGGCCACGCAAGCTATGTATGCATCTCTTCATCCATTCGGTCCTTCCGTCAAGTTCATCCCAGCGGTCGGCTTATCGCGATTTCGAGATGCCCTGGTCCCGCAGTTTTTGCTCCACCATGTCATCTTGTCGGCTCTCCCAGTCTGACCCCGTGGCGAAGCCGTTGGCAGAACGTGCCAACTTCCCGGCAGCTGCATGATGCGCTTATTCCAGCCTGGTAACCCATGCTCAATCGCGCTTACCCTTGGCCGAGACGTTTGTTGCTGACAGTGCTCGGCCACGGAAAACGAGCTAGGCACATGCCACACAACCCGCCGCCCCTTCGCGGATCCCGCAACTCAGGGGGCAGCCCTTGATGATGGCAACGTAGACTTGAGCCTTTCGGCCGAACTCTTGAGCACTGCCTCGACGGCTCGGGGATAACGTCTCATCTCAGATTGTGTGGCTGGTCCGCAAAGGGACTGCATGGGCCCGGCTGGGCGGAACTTGCTCGCGTGGCCTTTTTTTACCTCGCATGTTTGTTTCTGGGCAGCAAAACGTGGACATCCTCCGGCCTCGACAGTGGGACTCCCTTGGCGTCGGGGGATGCGACAAAGGAGCTTCGAGAAACATTGTGCCCCGTTGGACGCTGGGGCCACGCAGTAATCCCCCGTACCGACCTTGTCCGGGTAAGGCTTGCATGTTGCTGCAGCCATCGCGCAGATATTGATCAGCTCGCGAGGCTGCTTTCCAGTCTGGTCTCGTGTTGGTGTTGCGCGTTGCTTTTATTGCGTGGGTTTCCGCTCCTCGTTTCACCGCGCGGGTAATAGTCGCGCGCGCACGCCCTGAAGCACCATCAGATATCAAGTGCTGGTTGCGAGATTGCTCGTATAGGCAGGTGGTACAGCGTGTTGGAGGAACAGGTTTCTACTTGACGGCTTGCCGGTTAGAGGTGTCCTGAGATCTATTGTCTCGGAGGCGCACGCGTCTTGTAGTCCAGCTTAGCATCTTATCTGCGGACAATTCTACTGTCGTGCCCAAAAAAAATGTCCATCTTTTTGACCAAAGTTGGTTTTTGGGCACGGCTCTCGGCTTAGCACCGTGCTGTTATTGTGGGCATGATTTATCGCGGTACGCTAGCAAAAGCTATCTCATGATAGCCGTACTAATAATATCTTAATAATAACAATAACATATACTTGGAAAATGATTTCTTATTACTATAATACTTCGTATAAAACAAAATATTAATACAAGCTTAAAATTTCACTGTTAAGATAGTATATTTTTAGGGTGCCGAGCCCGCCAGATAAGGCGCTAATAAACCTACCCTAGTATAGTTGCCCTTATGTGGCGTGTGCCGCGACTGCCCTCAACATGGACGTAAACCCTCCAAACGTGGCAAGTTCAAGGAGAGAATCAGCCTAATAATGGCGGCCTTGGCATTAGATCAGCAGGAATTGGAAGACATTCTCGACTACATCAGCAGTATTGGACATGCAAATCCAAGTCAGATGGCAGGGAGTACATCTAGTGCAAGAAATAGAAGAAAAAGAAGCAAGACCCAGCCGAAGTCTGCCGAGGAAGAATTGGAGGCTTGTCACGTAAACAAGCGAGAAAAGAAGAGAGCATCGGGGGTGTGTAGAAATACCGGACCTGCAGAAGAAAGAGAGAGAGCAGTGAGCAAGCTACTCGATGCATAGACTGGAATGCACTTGAACACCGAATACAGAGTAGTAGCAGTCTTATGACCAGCCCCATTTCTCTTTTAGGGCCTTTGACTGCGCTAGCAATCTGTCCTCCTCGGTCTCATATAGGCCGTGCTTCTTCAAGTACTGGGTATAGCGCTCACACTGTTCCGTCCGGCGTTGCACTTCAGATGCGAGAGCCTGGTTTCTGTCAAAGAATTCGGCTATTACATCATCCAGAGGCTTGTCGGAACGTTTCTGAGCAAAAAAATCACAAAAAATGTCGGTGGCGTCAGTCGGACAGCGTAGAACATGAGCAACGCAAAATGCCACATCTGTTTGGTAAGGACCCAGGCCATACCATTCTTTTCTGAGTTGTTTGCAAAGCCTATTAGTTTCGCTCTTGTCATCTAAAACACTCCGAAACTCAGCATGTATCTGCTTGTTCGTTGAGATTGAATCGTGACCGGTAATCCACGACGGCGGGGTAAAGACTTGCAGTGGAACCGTAGCGGCAAACTCCCAGTCGATTATGCCACGAATTTGCAAATCCTGGTCCACGATGATGTTGCGACTCCGTAGGTCCAAGTGACTCAGTACAAAAGGCCCTGCGTTCAACTCAGAATCGATAAGCTCATCGAAGATACGCTTCATTCCGTCTAGTGCGAAGACTTCCGCTTGAATGTCCTCGGTTGCATGGTCGGCAACTGGCTGCACATAAAAGCTTGACACGAGACCGAATTGATATTCCATGTACTCCTTGGCCGTCTCGAGGGTCGGCAGAGCGGGCAGTCGGAGCGTGGTAGCAGACATGGACATGACAGGACCCAAAATAGGATGCGTGCTGTGATTAGGATCCGGCATCAGGGACCCTATCGATGTAAACTCGAGTTTTCTGAGCCCAGCTAAGATGTCAATGAGCTGAGCGTAAAATTTTCGTCGGGCTTCGTCGTCGGCTTGAAATAAAAGTTTCTTATCCAATGGTTCGCCTGGTATGAAGTCTGCAATGAGATACATCTGCGGTCCAGAGCTGGATTCGGCCAATTTAGCATCACGGCCGTACGCACGAATATGAGGAACAGGGATCAGAGTTTTGCGCTCGAGAAATCTGCATCTATTAGTAGCAACTCAAATCGGAGGTTAAAGAGCACTTACTGCAAAGTGGTTATCTCGCTCAACAGCTTGTCCCAGGGATCGTCGAAAGCAGGCTCAATCGGAACCCTGACCATCCACTGGGATTCATCCTGGTCAAACTCGACAAAGAAACAAACATTGAAACTGCCGTTATCCTTCTTCACAACTCTGCACGTCTGGCCATTGTTGTATCTTGATGCCAGAGCGCAGACTGCATCAGAGTCTAGCGAGTCGATAAAATTTCTCTTTGCTTGACTGAGTTGGTCCTCGGTAACGATGGGGAATGCTTGATCATCAGTTCCGTCAGTTTCAGTCTCTGGCGTACTAATCTCCGGCCGAGCGCGACATAGCTGGCCAAATAACTTGGACGAAAGAGAACTACTAGCGTCCTGCATATTCGTACTTGATGGATAAGAGTATACAGCATAACTGATATGAAATTGGAACTAGCATTGTTGCTGTACTCAGTTGTTGTTTCATTGACTTGATTCTCGTGTCTCAAGGCCAAGGGGTAGCTACTCGGATAACAATAGGCCTGAGGGTTGGAGCAGGACCACCACGTGATCAGCTTTACAGTCGGATTGATCCCAGCCACAATGTGGCCAGAGTGGTCCGTGCTCCCGACAACAAGTTGACGAGACGCTGAACGTTTTTTTTGGGCACAACAGTACAGTCCGAGGAAGATGAAGTGTTACAAGGTAAATTGGCAGAGTCGTTCAAACATAAAGTACCTCCCTACTTAAGTACTTGGAGGTTGGTACTTTGGGTATTTGTCAACCCCCTCCAC